ATGCCAAATACGACCTTCCTATTGGTTTAAAAACCTCCACGTAGAGCCCCTAGCTCTGGTGGGTCATCTCAGGAAATGATGCCTGTATAATTACCCTTTGATCTTGCGGCTTGTAGCAAAGGAATCCATTGTGTTTCATCTTGTGTGGAAACAAAAGCAGAACCTCCTTTCCAAAGTGGCCCAATATTTGAAGTCAAGATACATTTATCTTCACTTTAGATCAGCTTCGTTTTTAGCCAGTGGTAATGAAACATGTTCACAGCACACATAGCCAGGGGTAATGAAACATGTTCACAGCACACATAGCCAGGGGTAATGAAACATGTTCACAGCGCACATAGCCAGGGGCAATGAAACATGTTCACAGCACACAGAAAGACACCCCACACCACCAGGTTACTCTTGCTCATGGTGTTCATCAACGGAAAACAAACTTGGAAAGACACTGATCTTATCATATTGGGGTCCCTACTTTATGGAATAAAGTTAAATTTAAGTTCCTCATTCAGGGCTTTGACATTAACATTTGGGGGGGTATTAACAAATGCCCCCTCAGCCCTGATAGGGTGGTGTCACAGACCCCGTTATGATGGTCCCCGGTTTTGCACTGGGGTATCAATGGGTTGCATACAGGGGCATGGAAACCACTGAAGAACACTGTTCCCATCACCATACACCAGTAACACAGGTGTAGGCTTTGTCCCCTTTTACCACTTAAGTAAACCCAGGTAGGTGCCAGGTTTCATGGGCCCCTTTTCCCAAGCAGCTGTTAACTGCCTGAGTAATACTGGTGACAGACATTGCCCCTGAGCGCCTCCTTCTTCAGTGAGGGAGACTTACTGGAACCAATCTTATGGAACTCCCATTGGCTATATAAGTAAGGTCATACAGGGGAGTAGATGTCTGAGACTCATGTTTTTGCACCTGTGCCAGTTAGGTTTTCTGTTACTTGCATTTAAAATTTTTTTTTCGAGACAGGGTTTCTTTGTATTGTTTTGGAGGCTGTCCTGGAACTCACTCTGTAGACCAGGCTGGCCTCGAACTCACAGAGATCCTCCTGCCTCGGCCTCCCGAGTGCTGGGATTAAAGGTGTGTGCCACCAACGCTCAAAACATTTGAAATTTTCATACTGGTAGAGTATCCTGCATATTCACGGTAATTTATCCCTACTAAGAGTGCTCAAGGACCCCACCCCATTTTGAAATGTTTCCATATGTAATGAGATAGCTTGGTCATGGAACCCACATCCAAACAAAAATTCTGTATATTTTACATACACCTTATGTACATGTCTGAAGGTAATTTTGTACAGTGTTTTTACTGCACCCGTGTTTTGTCTACACTGTGTGAGGTCAACTGTAAAACCTACCTCTTCTTGGAGGGGTGAACACTTAATACTGGGGGTTCTGAGAGTTCCCGTTTTAGCTCCAGCTTCCTCTGAAGACCCAGGTAGTATGCTGTACAAATTTTACAGTCAATGCATCATTTCCCCTATGATCCACATGGCTTCATTTAATCCTCAAGTCTTAGCAGATGGACAAATGGACAAACCCGAGTTCTTTTCAATTCATTTGACATTACTGCTTTTCAATTGGTTTATCTTGTTAACATTTTGGTTGGTGAGAAAAATCATCATGTGTTAGGGAATATTCAAGTCATTAGTAGGTATGTTTTTGGATATTAGTTACTGAGGGAAGTAGTTTTTAAATAAAATAAAGTGCTGTGTTTTAACACTGCATTAGTTTTCAAGGTTTTTAGTAAAATGCAACAATATTGCATGCAAAGTAATTTTAAAATATTTATTATTTATGGCTCATGTTCAGTTAAGCTGTGGTATAAAACGTTGGGAAGATGATTTGTCTTTCATTTCATCAGAGTTCCCTTTTCATCCCTGGATGCTGTTACAGTGCAGGTTCGTGTCACACTGAGATCTGTGCTTCTCTCTAGATCAGTGGTTCTAGACCAGAGAGTCACGCCCCACCCCCCCAGGGTTTGCGTATCAGATATCCTGTATATCAGCTACTTACATTACAGTTCATCGCAGTCACAGAATCGGTTAATGAAGTAGCACTGTAAATAATGTTATGGTTGGGTCACCACAGCATGATGAACTGTATTAAAGTGTCAAAGCGTTAGGAAGGTTGAGAACCACTGCCCTGGCTGATATTGCTGGATGCTACGTGTTTTGTGTTAGGGATTCTGTAATAATGATCACTTTATTATTATTTATTTATTATTTATGATTAACCTATTGCTGTCTCCTCCCTAGGTTTCCATGTTTTCCCCTCATCTCTAGTTTGTGTGCTTCTTTTTTATTATTTCTGTTACTGAATTCATTACAGGGATGTGCTGAACCCCTGAAAACTCTGGTCCGATTATAAACCTCATAGCTTCCCCTCTCTTTCCATGTCTTGCCTACCTTTCTCTTTCTTCCTTTTCCTTCCCTTCCCTCTTCCTCTGTCTTCCCCCTCCCGTCTCTACCCCTGTCCCTTTCCTTGTCCTTTTCTCCTCTCTTTTCCTGAAAGCCCAAGTGTCTAGTCTCCTCAGTATCCATCCAGACACCCACACACACCGCTTTATGGAGAAGGAACTCTCAAAGAATGCAGCCAAAACTGAATAGTAATGGGAATAAGTAAATGACACAGACGTTTGATGCTACCCATTAAATCAAAGGATTTAACAATAAGAAAAAGCTAATTTAGAGAGATAGGCCAGTGCATTTCAGTGACTTAATGCAGTCAAAGTTTACTTCTCCTCATGCAGAATGGGAAGGAGGGAAGGCACCACCTGAAGCATTGTCCCATGATGCTCCCAGGGGATTGGGAAGTGTAACTTCTGTCACTTCTTAGGGCTCCAGGATGGGTCACCAAAGGCTAATTAATGTAACACTGTCACTCTGACTCCTTCCAGGCAGGAATTCCAATGGGGACTGCCGCGTACAAGTCTGGAGGAAGAATTCTGTATTCTTCCTCCAAAGAAAATGGTTACAAAGGCTTCATGTTTTATGTTGTCCTTAATTCTTACAAAAAACAATTCTCTTTATTGGATTCAAGAAGTTTAACTAAGTGAGAAGGAATTTTAAATCTTCTAGGAGAAATCCAACATCTTCATCGCTAGAATCCTAATCATGCACCTGCTGTGTCATGAATAATGTTGTATTTTTCGGGAAAACAACAAATGAAATACACTGTGGTGTTCAAATTATCATCAGGATGAATGGCCTTTTGCATGTAAGCTGTCATTTACTACCATAATTGCTCTTAAGGAAAGAATAACAAAAATAGGGTCAGATTAAATATGAAGAGCAGTAAGACTGTCTGCTTTTACCTCTAACTGGAATTAAAGTATCAGAGGAAAAACCTTTATGTTAATACTTGTGAAACATAAGAAACCCAGTATCCCTCTTTCCGTCTCATAGCTTCATCTTTAAATAAGCGTGGGGGCATTTTACAGACCCCCAAGTGTTTGGGAGACGGAGTTAACCAGCCAAGGCACTTGTACATGTTATTCATGCAGTCATTTTTATTCAGGGTGCACGCAATGGGTTCATTTGGAATGACAAACTTGTACCTTTCGTGCTTAAAAATTTAAGAATACAATGATCTTACTGAAACTAGATGGAAATAACTGAGATCCAGATAGAGCTTCTTAACGTAGCCATGGCAGCCTGTGCATATAAAATCTTGTCTCTGTGAGTGTGTGAGTGCGTGTGTGTGTGTGAGCATATGTGTGTGTGCATGTTGTATATTTTAAGTGCTTAAGCAACATCCTACAATGACAGTCAAATGGCGACAATAAATACCCCTAGCTATATAAAAATGTCTCCTTTAAGCTAAAACATCTGGTTAGGACCTGCCCAGCCAGAGGGTACCAGGGAGGCTCTTTCAGATATATGAGAAGTTTCACATTTAGCACACCGATTCAGATTTATTCGGTACAATACTAGCATTATGTGATCAAGATGAGTATATTTCCATAGTTTCAGTTAACTAAGAGTGGGAAGCATTGACTTGCAAGTTAGCGGTTTCCCAGGTGACTGTTTAATTAGGTAAATTGCAGACTTAGTCACTCTCACAGTTTACCAGGGATTTCTTTTCTAGGCAGGATTTTGAACTAAATAATCTCTTAAATCCCTTTTAATGATAAGATGCTGTAATTTTGGCAGTACTAAAGATGCATATTTAAAAAATTAATCTCCTGTGTTTGTCTCCCAAAAACCCCCTCTGTCTCTCTCTGCCAGCATTGTGGTTAAGCACCGGGTCATACACTAATTAGGGAAAATGTCTTCTCACCCAGCTATATACCCAGACCAGAAATCTGTTTTTGAGAAAAAGAGAAGTGCATTCCTTAAACATGTATTAGTTTTTAAAATATCCACTTTTCAGTTTTATTTTGTGGGAGGGTGTGCCTGTATGTCACAGTAACATGTGACACCAGGGGACAACTCAAGAGTTGATTTCCTCTTCTGTTGTGAAGGTACCAGAGGTTAAACTCAGTCGTCAGGGCCTCAGTTAGCACAGAGCCATCTTGGAAGCCCTTTAAACTGAACTTTAGTGGTATCCATTTATGAAGGAATCTACAGTGTCATCAGCATTTGTTGCTCTTACAATGGGTCAAAAAGGATGAAAGAAAACACAATTACATAGGAGAATTCAAGAAATGAATAATTCCCATTATGATCAATGAGAAATGAGTCTGTTGATAGGATAAAGAACATTCAGTTAAATTACAGGCAAAGTCCAGTTGAAACAGTTTGCGGGATGGGTCCTCTAAAATGTCGTACACTTTATAGATATTAATCATTACGATCCTGAGTGATTTTATTGATACACAATCCAGGAAAAAATAGTTTACAAAGAAACAAGTACATTGATTATGAAGAAATTCTTTTGAAATATTTATCATGACAAGTTCTCTATGTTTTATTGGCTTTATGCTGTTTCCTTTGCTGCACACCTCAAGTGTGTTTATAACACAATTATCTGTGCTTTATTTTCTAGTTGTTTTTTGTCCTTGCTGCTGGTGGCTGCTGTGGTTTGGAAGATCAAGCAGACTTGCTGGGCTTCTCGACGGAGAGAGGTAGCATTCACATTCTCTAATCTCTGTGAGGGTGTGAGCAGTCGTGGGTCTCTCTGCTCACCATGCATATGCTCCTCCAAGTACAGATTTATCAAATCTGTTTTACGTATTAAAATTGTACAGTATTCTATCTTTAAAGCTTCACAGTTCGGCTGGGTGGTGGTGATGGCGTACTCCGTTAATTCCAGCACCTGGGAGGCAGATGCAGGCAGATCTCTGTGATTTCCAGGCCAGCCTGGTCTACAGAGTGAGTTCCGGGACAGCCAGGGCTTCACAGAGAAATCCGGTTTCAAAACACAAACAAAAACAAATCTCCAAACAAAAAGATTCAGAGTTGACCACCACAATATTGGTTAGCGGCAGTTTTTTTTTTTGACAGTATTAGAATTCATAGTGAATACTGATATTAATTTTGTTAAGTAATTAGTAATATCTTTCCTTTGACATTTAGTTATGGTGTAAGAATGTTTTACAACATTAAGACAGTTCTAAGTACATATATTTATTTATTTTTTTCTATTGGGAGATATCTATTCCTATAGCAGTGTTTCTATGGGGAAAGTGATTCAGATATTTGCCATTTCTTGATCATTTGATTACCCAGTTTTGTCTAAAGAACCAGTCAGCTTGATGCACTTATGTTTCAGAATTAGTCATGATGTTCCTTATAAATCTAACATTGGTTAAAAAAGGGTTAAACTTTCACAAAATATCATCCAATGATATAAGCAGGCTAGAAGGCATAGTTTCTTCTGGTTAGTGGAAAGAAACAGGAAACCTACTCAACTGATGAACAAAATAGCCATATGTATTGTTCTAAGGCTTATACAGTAAACATTATTAGTATCTATGTACTGATCTATCAAGTTCTATTCTATTCTAATATTAGCATCATTGGTAAATTTTTTCCTATATATTTCCCAGCATTTTTAAGTGCCTATGCATTTCCACATATAAGAAAATATTTAAAGCTAATTGAAACAATACAGAATACTTGAAGTTATAGAATGACTTTATATGACTCAAATTTGTTTCCTATGTTTTCAAAACTCAGTGCCTTTTAAGGTACTTGGATTCTTGAAGTTTTCCTCTCTCTGAGCTACTGCCCGTCTTAGTCCTGTGTTCCTCTGTGATTCAATACATGACTAGCCCGGCATCAATGAGAATTGACTTAATCCACCCCATGATGAGAGAAAGCTGAAAGGAGCTTAATAAATACGGACACATGTGAAATTCTGTGCGGATTCTAACGTCTCTGGTTCTGGCAGATGGTGTTCCACAGTGAACAGCCATAAGTCTTGATGGTGGTGGTCAATGGGAAGGCCACTGGTAATGGAATAGAACTGGTGACAATGTATTTTCCTAACTGCCAGGATACAAGTGAACCAGCAGTGGCTTCCGTCCTTCTGTATTCTGGAGCAGTGTTTAGATTTCTGCTCTCAGAGTGTACAAAGTTCTGCTTTGCTACTGCAGCACTATGCAGAGATGCAGACCCCCCTGCTGCAGCACCATGCAGAGATGCAGACCCCCCTGCTGCAGCACCATGCAGAGATGCAGACCCCCCTGCTGCAGCACCATGCAGAGATGCACAGTCCCCTGCTGCAGCATTGTGCAGAGATGCACAGTCCCCTGCTGCCGCACCATGCAGAGATGCAGTCTCCTGCTGTAGCACCATGCAGAGATGCACAGTCCCCTGCTGCAGCACCATGCAGAGATGCACAGTCCCCTGCTGCAGCACCATGCAGAGATGCAGTCCCCTGCTGCAGCACCATGCAGAGATGCAGTCCCCTGCTGTAGCACCATGCAGAGATGCACAGTCCCCTGCTGCAGCACTGTGCAGAGATGCAGTCCCCTGCTGCAGCACCGTGCAGGGATGCACAGTCCCTCTAATCCTTCTAATGTTCCTTGTATCTGACCATGCATAGGTGCTCTGTTGAATTTCCTGGCTTCGACACCAGACAGTGGCGGTACATGCCTTAAATTCCAGCACTCAGGAGGCCGAGGCAGGCGGATACATAAGTTTGAGGCCAGCCTGGTCTACAGAGTGAATGCCAGGACAGGCAGGCTGCAATGCTACACAGAGAAACCCTAAAAATAACCAAAATAAAAGAGCCTTGTGAGATGTAACTAAGTTCAGTTTGAATTTATATATGAGTCTTTACGTAACTAAGCTTAGAAACAATGTAATCATTTACTATCTGAAAATAAAACATATATTTACTCTTTGAAAAAGCTATTATTTACATATCTACTGTTCCCTATTTAAATTACAAGTGGATTTTGTTTAATATTCGTCACTTCAGAGTAGTAATGCTGTTTTTTTTTTCACATTAGAAGTCTTAATACATTTGGATTGTGTGTTAAAGCCTTCCAAAGTATTCAGTGGACTTGGGAAGTAGTAGCGGAAACCAGTGAGAGCTATGATTCTGTTGTTAATACCACAGTCCGTGAAAGCATTTCGCTATGGCCATGGTTTCTTCTCAGTGTGAAGTCTTTTTCTCTAAAGACAGAGAGGTAGTCTTTTCTGTTATATATTTGATTTGCTCACCCCAGTCATAACAGACAGACCTGCAGGGTGAGAGCCCGTCACGCCACCATGCATGCAGGGTTCAAATATGTCATAGATCTTCCTTCAGTTCTATTTTACCAAATACCTTTAAATGAAAGACATTACATGTTGTAGGAAAATGTCATATGTTAATGTGCACAGTAAACACGACAGTATCTTGGCTGACTGTTGAAGACCAGATTAGACAATGACTTTTATTTGAGAATTATCCCAAAGTTCGTTTTTGTAAGGTCCGGAGATTCCAGCGACACTTGTTGACTAGTGATGTTTTCTGATCTCTACATCTTTTCAAAGTAACCCCATGCACTTGTGATGATAATTGTACTTTCAGCAAATATGTGATCAGAGGCAAGTCTTGTGCTAGGACTCAGACTGTTGTGTGCCCACCGTGTGAGACCCTCATTCATGTTGTCTACATGGAAATGAGTCTCTGTCTCAGAAACAGAGCTACTGATCATTGCTAAACCTCTGTGATGGACAGAACGTTAGTTGATCTGCAGTGATATTTTTTTCCTCATAATATTTGTGATTGTTTTATAAAGCTGTGATTCTCCAAATATAAGGACTGTTTAAAATGAGAAGGTTGAGTGGGGGGGGTAGAGTAGGGGGAAGAGGGAATCGTAGGTTAGAAGACAGATCAGGCACCAGTGTAACCTCTAGTGATCTAAAGGGATGACACCAATTGGCAAGCTAAGCAATAGTGGAGAGACCACCTCAAATGCCTATTCCTGATAGTGAACTTGATGTCTATAACCATCCTGGAGCCTTCATCCAGTGACTGATGGAAGCAGAGGCAAACACCCACAGTTAAACACTGAACTGAACCCAAGGAACCCAGTGACAGAGAGAGAGGAGCGATGAACAAATTGGCAAAGAATGGGCTGGCAAAACCAGCAGAGACAGCTGATCTGAACAGGGGAGAGCTCTTGGACCCCAGACCGACAGCTGGGAGGCCAGCATGGGACTGATCCAGACCTCCTGAGTGTGAGAGTCAATGAGGAGGCCTGGGCAACCTATGGGGTCCTGAGCAGTGGATCAGTGTTTATCCCTCGAATACTAACAGATATCATGTGTCCATAACACAAAGAGGGTTGCTCTCTCAGCCTGGACTCTTATGGGAGTGCCTGGACCCTACCCTGAGTGAAATGACAGACTCTAGATATCCCCTATGCAGAAGGAATTGGCAATAGGGTGGGAGGCTGGAGAGGGGTGGTGGGGAGGTACAGGAGGAGGGGGAGGGAGAGGGAACTAGGATTGACATGTAAAACAAGCTATTTAAAATTAAAACAATTAAAAAAACAAAAAAAATGAGAATAACTTGAAAAGTCATGTGTTGGGTTTACAACAAACCATATTGCCTTTTCTTCTCTGATCCCTTGGTTCCTCTTAAACTTGACTATACTTTTTGTAATATAATCTTAACATCATGATTATTTCTCCTATTAAATAGAACACATACAAGTTCAGGGGATTTTAAAAAATCTTTAAATATTTCAATTTTGATATTACCTCCTCGACATGGTTTTTAAAGTAACTTACCCTCAACATAATATGAAGACTTTCTTTTGGACACTGCTAACGAATGGAAACAATAAGGGAATATTGGTTAGTGGAAATTAACACACTGGAAGGTGAATGCATTGTCACTTTTTGATCTTTTTTACACAGGTATTGAAAACATTAACTTCAAGGATACATTCTGGTTTTACCAGTCATTTACATTACAAAACTATTTGTTTACACAGGATGTGTGCCAAAGCATGGCTTGATTGACGAGGGCTGTTCTCAGTGTCTTCATCTGAATGTGGGAATTTGTGCTTTTTTAAAAAAATGTGTGTGTTTAGTCCACATGCATTTCTGTGCACCATGCGAATGCCTGGTGTCTACAGTGCAGAACAGGGTGTCTGATACTCTGAAACTGCGGTTCCAGATAGTTGAGCTGCTGTGTGGATCCTGGGTGTTGAACCCAGGTCCACGAAAACTATCCAGTGCTCCTCACCACTTGCCGTCCAGCCCTGAGCTAGAAATTTCCATACTTAAGACAAATCAAGATGTTCTCGTTTCTTCTCATAATCATATACTTGACTAGCAAAATACTCTGACTGTATTAATAGTTAAAAGAAGTGAAGTGTTTTCCACCTGGAAACTTATTTTCGCATGTCTTGAGTGATTTAGTCGTAGTATGTCTTGGTGAAAGTCTAACAGCCAAATCCACATTCATCAGCCTCATTTTCTTTCAACTCCATCTTATCCGTGAATCTTTAAATGCAGAGCTCATTTCTTATAGCAGGATATTTCCTTCCTAAATTCAGTTATATGTCCAGTCCTTCAAATTTTCAAAAATATTAACATACAATTTTATCATACTTTTAACAAGACTTTTCTAGAATATTATACTCCGCTTGTGATTAAACATCAGCAAGATTAAAAG